ACCTCATATATCTGTCCTTCGGATGAGATGTAAAACCGAGGTCCCGACTCTCTGAGGTCATTAAAAATCCCAGGGTGTTTCTCGAAATAGTAGGGGTGTGACCCTGGGGTCCTGGCCAAACTTCCCATTGGCATTACCAAACATGGCCTCCTAATAATCCCCATCTATGAATTGGCTTCATTACTCTGCTCTCCTCCCCACTGAGAGCTCATGTGTGGTGAGCGTTCTGGCGCACTATGGCTGCCGTCGCATCATCCAGGTGGATGCTGCACATTGGTGGTGGTGGAGGGCAGTCCGCATTACCTGTAAAGTGCTTTGAGTGGAGTGTCCAGAAAAGCACTACTGTATACAAGTGTAAGCAATTATTATTATTATATTGAAAGCAATTAATTCCACATAGGGTTGATTTAGGGTTGATTGGATGAGCATGATGTAAACATTATGTCAAGATCTTCTTAGTTACCAGATCTAAACCCAATTGAATATTTATACTATATTCTGGAACAATTGTGAGTTTTCCCCATCTCCTTCAACCAGACCTGAGTTAAATCGACTTTCTCGTGGAAGAGTGGTGCCACATCCCCTCTGTAGAATTACAGAGGCTGGGAGACTCTATGCCACAGCGCATACAGGTTGTGCAGGCTGCAAGTAGTGACCCAACATGCTATTAACTGACTCACATTGCCAATTTCATTTTATATCCACTACCTGGACTTTAGCTCAAGGGGTACATCAGCAGTATCCCACTTAGTATTTGGGCCCTCACGCCATCCAATCCAGAATCCAATGCCTCATCCATTACTCTACGCTCCTGGATTTCACATCTCCTCTCCTGTCACTTGCCCTAGCCCGTGCCTGCAGCGAAATGTCTGCATTTCGATTTTTGTTTTCTAAAAATAGAGGACAATTGGCTTCTGAGCAATGCTTCAGTGGAGTTCTAATCCTGTCGTCTTTAAATTGCCCGTAACAATGCTGTGTCTTCTGAGACGAAAAAGGAAAAAAAAAAGTCCGGTCACCCGCGCACACGATGTTGCAAGCGGTGTCCTGTGGGAGAGGCAGGCAAACAGCCTGTTCACAGTCACACGCAGGCGAGACACTGGGCAGCACCCGCACAAGGAGTCTCACTGGAGGCCTCCATTTTTCTTGAAGATATCGGTCACCTTCCATTAAAAGATAAGAAGATGTTAGTCTAAAATAGTATAAAATAAACTAATCATTTTTAAGGTCCTGAAGGGCTTCATAATTCATGTAGAATGCAGAACGTCATGAAGAAATATAACAATTTTCTATAAAACTTTCATTTCCACGCTGAACATTCAGCTGTTTACATCCATTTTCTTATACAGTAATTAAGCCAATTCCTTTCTTAAATATACTTGCAGACTGCACAATTACTGATCATACAGTTGATAACTAATGACATTACAGCCTAGAAACATTTACTTCTGTCCATCCACCCAATATATCTGTTAGTTTATTTATTAGCAACACTGTTTCACAGTTATAACTCTAAATGCTTTAAATTAACTAAATTAACTGCATTTCTTTCCAGTTTCCAACTAATGGCCTTTTTAGAGTCAATCAATACAGGCCACTTACAGGACAATGTATTACACATTGAACACTCGGAGCACAAAGATTATCCATGAACAATTGCCCAATCCACAGATTATCCGCATTTTAAGGCTCCTCACTAGAAATCAAAAGGCAAATTTCATTCGTAATTAGAAGAGAAATTTACTTTATGTGCATGTTTCACGAACACAATAAACTCGTCCAAGAACCCTTTTCCTTTTTAAAAAAACATCAGTCCACACCGAGACAGGCCCGTGACATCTCAGTGTCATGAAAGCTCTATACAAATCCTTCGATTCTCCATTAACCCAGAAAGCTTGAAATCAGACTATTTAGTGTACTTAAATAAGAACAACCCAGCACATTTAGCCTCTTTGGTAGTAAGAAGGTAATCGATCCAAGCATCTCATCCAGGAATTTCTTGAAAGAAGCAAGAGTATCGGCTTCAACAACATGGCTGCCTGCCATACTCCCACAAAGAAAAGAAGTGCCTCCTGTTCTCAGTTTTAAATGCACTTCCACTTAGTTTCCACTTGTGCCCCATGGTTCAGGGTTCACTGATCACAGAATCCACAGTGGCAGAAAATGTTCAGCTAATATTTGACTGGGTCTTCTAAACAAGAGCATCTGTCATACAAGGCAATGCAATCATTTCACACATAACTTCCAATGTAATCTTGCAGGAAATAAGAAAGACCAACATGTTCTCGGTTTTCTTACAAAACCAGAAAACTGAGGGAGCTGTAACCCAAGCAAGTGAACGCCTGGAGGCATAGTTCAAGTTATCCCACTATAAACTGGGCCAGTATTAGCAGAACAAGACCATGGAGGAGTGTGTAAAGAAGAGTTCAATAGCATTGATACAACACACCAAAATGCAAAGCACCTTCTATTAATAGGGGAACCGTCCAATAAAAAAAGCAAATATAGGATTGGACCATATTAAGCACACAAATAAAAATATTGGTGACATTCATGAACAAAATAATTAATTGAATGTTTCTTAAAACACTGTTTAAGATGGAATCTAGTGGAAAAAAAGTAAATTAATTCTTGTTAAGAATTGGCTACAATGGTCACTGATGTGTCACATTAAGAAATGATAAGAGTACAATGCAGATTGAAACAGGAAGACAATTCCTCAGTCAGTTTTGAATAACGAGCCCATTTTCATACAATTAACCACAGGCCCAGAAAAAAGAGAATGAGGATGACAATCAATCCTAGAATCTACCCTCTGCTTCACAAGAAATGTTAACATCTTACAAGTTTTATAACTAGACTCTTAAATTTCCTTTATTTGTAGTTCTGGAAGGGACCATAAAATGCAACAGTATTTGACAAAGGAAAGTGGTCCTATACATTCTCACCAGTATGAAAATTTCCAATGCACTGAAGGTTTGTGATGAGAAAGTTCATGAAAGGGACAGAGATGGAGAGAAAAAGAGATCCTCTCAGCAACTGATTAAATATTTACACCCATGTGTCATCTTAAAAAGACAGTATATGAAAAGACGAGCATTAGAACCTACTGTATATGTACAAATAAAGCTTAGTCAAGTTGTATCACTGGCTGAATTCCATAAGCAGATAAAAATTAATTTAATTGACATCATCTTTTATGCCAGAGACTGCTCATAATGATATCTGAATATTTCAAAGGGCCAACTTAGACTGTCGGATAAATAAGGGAACCATGTCTTTCTATGACAACAGGAAATACGAATCTGAGCCTCTATTACTCAGTATCTAGGATGAACATTTTTAAGAAGCATCTAACATTATAGTAACTGTCTTCAGAATAAATAGTGTTATGCACAACAGTATCTACTGTGTTGCTCATGTGCTGCCTGCTGAGAAATAATAATAAAGTATCAAGTTCATGAATATGTTGCAGTTCTCTCTAGTGATTTGAGGTTTTTGATTTGAGAACATTTCATGTGCATTTATTATAGGGCATCTGCTTTCTATTCCCTCTGTTATAACTGTTATTTTTGGACTATACTGTGTAATATATCACCTTATATCTTTATCTCATAAATAAGACTATAAGAATAAAATTAATCTTTAAAATTGAGAACCAGTCACTACAAGATTAGACTGATTAATATTACCTTTTCCGAATTCACAGATTTTGATCAACTGGTAGAAGTTTAAAAAGTAAAACAATTTCTGGGCAAGGTTTGTAGTTATTTTAAAGTATTTTCAGTTATCCAAGTAGAGATTTTAAATATTATTCTTTAAGATAACTATTTGACTAAGTCTTCTCCTTTCATGCCTGTTGGGTACTCCTTCATTTAATGCACATACATTTTAATCTGCAGGCTTGGTGTCATTCCAATTAAAAAAAACATATTTTGGAATATTCCAACTTTGTGAGCCCAAAAGTTTGGTCAGGTGTGTCCTCCTGTACATTGACAATCTATGCTGTATATTAAGATTATATTTCTATCATCAGTGCAAAGCTAACTTCTAAGACATTTTTATGTCCCTCACATTTTACATTCTGAAACTGCAAGCAGGTAGTATATAAAAACAGTCCCTTAAGACTCGCAACCTAATGATAAGAACCCAGATCCCATTTTATGAATCCAGTCTCCACATATGGTATGTTAATAATAATAATAAAAAAAATGTTTCTTTATTAGCCCTATACAATTTCTTGCATTAGGAATTTGTCTTTTCGCATACGCCAGCTTTTCTCCATGGAGACACAGACAGGGAGAGAAGCTTGGGGTCAGAGCACAGGGTCTGCCATTGTACGGCGCCCCTGGAGCAGTTAGGGTTAAGGGCCTTGCTCAGGGGCCCAACGGAGTAGGATTCCTCTGCCGGCCGCGGGATTTGAACCGGCAACCTTCCAGTCACAGGCGCAGATCCTTAGCCACAGAGCCACCGCTCTGCCCCAAGACACCGGTGGTCAAGACACCGGCACTTCTGCAAAGGGAACACTCCGTTCTAATGTCCCTCTATCACCGTTCTATGCAAAGAACCCCTCACTGTGGCACAACTGTGACTACCAACCAGTTCACCAAGTGCCCTTTGAAAGACAAGATGCATTGAGACATTTTTTTGCAGATCATTAGATTATTTCAAACACAATACTGAAATCTGAATAAGAATGTCAGATGTACATCTTGATCAGCAAAGAGAAAGTGATGCGAGGCTCTTTTGAAATGTAATAATTGGTGTTCATTTATTGTATTTACACAGCCCACATCTGGAAATAAAAGTCCAGGAATAACTTTAAAACAGACATACAAGCCTTCAACCATATTTCATAAAGAGCAACTTGCAGTCTTTCACTTCGAGTTTCTTATAATGTGATATATACATTTTATATGTATATATTTTCCCCACTGTATATAAGAATATACATTTGTGAAGATCACATTATAAAGATTCGAAGGATCTCTCTCGTTTCTCACCAGATCCTCCCATGAAGCTGGAAAAGCTCTTTTGCCTTGAGGGTAGTTTCCTCAGTGACTCTGTTTCCCCTGAGCATTGAGAAAAAAAAACAACAACCTCCTTGATTAGGCATTTGGTATCCTTCTCAAACAGCAATGCCTTTTTTAGTTACCCTCCCATACCACATAATTCAGTTCGTTTTGACGACGCATCAATACTGTGGTGTGGCGTGTGCTATATGTGAGAACTATAGGTTGTCTGGGTTTCATTAAAGCACCAGAACATGAAGAAGTTGTTAAACCTGTTTGTTTAAATCAATAATAAGCTGCTATAGATCATTAATATCAGATTTTGAATGAAAGCCTTCAGATAAACAGGTCCTCCAGAAAAAGAATAATAATAAGATAAGAATTGAACACCCTTTTCTTTTTCTTAAATTCTTCTTTAATGTTCTTAAGAGATAAATGTCTATTTTGAAGCATGACATTATATAAAGCATTAAAGATTAGCCTTACCATTCCCGTGTGCATTTTTGACCAGCTGTGCATTCAAACATTTATTTAGTAATTGCCTTACACATGTGCACTGCATAGTAACATTCACGACTTTCAGTTTGCCTCAGCTCAAAGAATGATGTAGTTTAGCATACATATGTAGAGTCAGACAATCTGTGGCCTAATTTTTAGAAGTGGTCACTTTATACTAGACTTCCCATTCAATGTTTGTATAGATGAAATTCTCTCAATACCATTCGCAAGTAAACAGGTCAAATTCAACAAAATAAGCGAATAACCTAAACATCACATTTGTCTCTGCACATTTGAAGTATGAGTACACATCCCAAACGAATTCAAACGCAAATTCTTCCTTTATTAAGAAAATAGGGTCAGATGCACTAAAAATCGAAACAATTGGGCACAGGTATTTAAATAAGCACTTACAGTAGCGGTGAGTTACTACCACTTTTACAGGAGGGAATGGCTATTTGGTTATATGAACCAAATGGTTCATAATGGTTATATGAAAGTGTTAACACTGACAAAACTTAATAACACGGACTTTATTATTTTAAGTCCATTGCCTTTTTGGTTTCAGAAAGCTGTAACCAAATGTACCTACAGATACCAATTAAAAGTTAACTTCATTATAAGTGCAAGCTTTTTATTCATCGGATAAATAATTGAAGCAATCTAAAATGAATTAAGTTTTTTTTTTTCCGGGATTTCTGTGACAGCAAAAAAAAAACAGGACAAAAATAATTAACTTAGTTTAGCTACTGGAAGTGTGTAGTACTACTTCACCTTAATACATTGCAAGATGATCTTACCTTTTAGTCCCTGAATTCTCATTTGTGTTCTCTGCAAATTAACAAGAAATTTATTATTGATCACCGCAGCAGAACAATTTCGTTTTTTTTCCAAGATGCTGGTTTACAATAAATGCCACTTCACCCGCATTCATGAAAACAAACCCAACCCTTGACAACTGTTATATTGCTCTTTTTATTATTTCTAAATTAAAAAACCGAACCTTCGTCTGTATTTAATGCATGATCTCGCATCACACAGCACGGCGACACCTGAAGCAATCTTTATTTCCGCAGAACAAGCTTGCAAGCGGACTGAATAGATTGCAACTGCCACTAGTTAGGTACAGGTGAAAAGCACAGTTTGGAAGTAAATTAGCAACAATGACTTTTAAAAAAATGAAATAGTTCTAAGGTTAAACAAATGAAATGAAAACTCACCCACAGCAGTCTTAACGTTATCAGAAGCTTACCTTCCATTTCTCTCGTTCGCAACAATCAGAACAGATTTTCTTGGCTTCTAGCGCACCTTACAGTTTCCGACACGGATTTAATTATTAACTAGAACTTGATAAGGACTTGCTTGTACAGAGGCAATGAAAGGGAGTAGCTTTAGCCACGCACAATGTTACAGCCTAAGTTTTCTGAAACAGTAGAAACAGTAGAAATATTTGAAGAGATAACGGTTAGTGCTGTATCAGTGGATTTGATGGTAGAACAATTGGGAAAAAAACACTCGCATTTACAGCACATGTTGGGTTAAAGCAAAAAAAAAGGAATACATTTGAATATAAAACCCCGGTACATACATAAAGCAATGATGTCTTGATAATTTCAGAATATTATCGTGCTCCCTATAGAGTAAGTGCTCAAAATAAAGAGTAAACTAAACTGTAAGCAAGGGCATTTAACAGTTCACAGCTCTTTTCTTCTTTTTTTTTTGTCCAAACTGGAAGTGTCTTAGAAATCATACTAATTAGTTGTGATGTGCTGCAAATAGAGCATATTGTCCAGGCCACTGCGTTGGAAAGCCATTCTTTGTCTTGCCGAATCCAGTGTTGTTGACTTCGCTGCACAAATATATTCACTGTAAAATTTAGTTGGTTTGTTACTCTTTCTAGGGGATGCAGCAAACCTACAGGTCACTCGAAATGTGTAAAAGGTTTTGCTTTGTTTTTGCAGCTTCAACAAGAACACCACAACAAAATGAGAACTGTTAAAGGGGGGAATTGAACTAACCATTAATTAAGGAAATGTATTTTTTCCTATGCATGTATTCAGTGCTTATGTGCTAAAATCTATCACTCTATTTAAAATATAGCATACAAAGTTTGGTAGCTGGTTAGATGTTTCTGGCATCATTTTGATTAACTGATCAGTCATTGCATTAGTGACTGGGAGGCACTTGAGTGACTTTTCTTGTTGGTGAGAGAGTTCATTTGGATCAAGTTGTGAGGTGTTTTAAGCCTGATGAAAATCAAGAAAGAAAAACAGGAAGTAAACAATATCCCACACACTTGACTACTTGTCTTCTGGGGTGTTCACAGTTAGCAAGATCTTACAGTCAATGATACAATAAGTAGGTCAGACTCTAGGAGGCCATAACCATGATGTGCGCAGGAGTGTGTAGTTGCTCCAGAACTCTGCTTGTAGTGGACCTGACCTGACTGCACAAGTCTACACTGATCAAGGACCTCACTTGTTGCTGTCTGTGTAGGTTCACCCTGACACCAAAACTTTACAGGCAGAACAGTGCATGTTCTCATTCTACTTGTGTAACAGATAAGAATGTCACAGTTATTCCACAGACTTGCCATTGAACATTGCTCATTAAACATTTGTGGGGTGAGCTGCTACACTGTGTGGAGACCAGTGAAGAGATACAGGCTTGTCCAGGTTCTATCAGAAGTGTCTATGCTCTATATGTACTTCATATATGTTTCCAATAACTCTAAATCTCTGACCATTTCTCAGAAAGCTGTAACTCTAAACTAGACTGTCCCATTCACCTTTATTATATTGAATAGTACCATTCATATTTGAAGCAAAAATCAGTAGCATTAGTACTGTACCTGTATGCCAAGGTGCTAAGAGCCTGTCAAAACGTCTGGAATGAATTTGTGTTGATAGCATAAATAGGTATTGATTATATTATGTTTTCAATACTAAGCTACATAATAACACTTTTATTTCAATTTTAATTCAATTTTTATCAGTTAGCTCAGATAAGTTGTGACTGTAGTTATCAATATTAACAATAGTTCAGTATTGTGTGATATGCAGTTGAAGTTGCCTTTCTGAGAAAAATATTTTATTTTCATTTAAGAAAATGTGTGTTTCACATTAAACAAGCGACTTGGTAAAGATAAATCATTAGACACAACTGGTTCTGTAACCTTCAGTCTGTTTTTCTAGGAGCTTGTAGATCCAGCGTCATGTAAAGATTGAGAACAGCTTTCATGGCTTTCTCTCAACACAAGTTTCAATTACTGTGATCCATCTAAACCTGTCTGGCTCTGAAAACCCTTTTCAGTTAATCAATTATGTTTTGTATATAGGGAGTAAATTACATTTTCTATAGACCTGAAAAAAAAACTTGCATAAAATAGTACAGGCAAACTTGCCTGAAGACTGCTCCCTTTAAAATCTCTGTTTTCTTATAAATTTGAAATAATAGTCAATAGAATAAAACTAATAATATCACTTCAGTTACTGTCTACCATTAATAGCATATTTATGAAACATACATTTCCAACCCACTTAATATCATTTTAAACTGACTTTTTGTCTATTCAATAAATCTGTGAGCTCTTTTCTAAATGAAATACTCCTGATGAACATATTCCTGATGCTATTTTTTTAATACTTCCAGATCTTTTGGATTTGGTTACTACATTACCACATTTTGTAACAAGCAAAAACCTAGTGGAATAAGACAGCTTGATTGTGTTAATAATTTGATCAAGACCAAGTTCTTTTTAAATTGTTTTTCTTGACATTACTGTAAATCACCAACTATATTCTCCTCATGAAATTGTTTCTTAGGGTATGATAAAACATTTAGGGTTATGGTCAATTTTTCTCATCTACAGTAACTGCTGTAGGGTTGTAATGTTTGAATGCAAGCATGAAGAAACATTATTTATGGGCATAAGACTCTATTATAATATTGCAAATTAATAAACCAGAAAAAGGATCACTTGCATTCCTGTGATTTGATAGTCTTCTGTCTTCACATTTATAACTTGTTGATAACGTCCAGACGTATTGCTTCAATGAGCTAATTATGGTTTATCACTTATCTGTGGAAACATTCACCGGCAAAGCTTTCAGTGAGTGGAATTGACAATTTAAAGATAATATGCAACCTTTCAAATATTTCACTCACGTGCTCTTTCTTATTACTAAACATTTCCAGCAGAGTTTCATTGATTGTAATATGAATTGTAGGCTCTGTGATGTGCTCTTATTTATGTGCAAAAATTCTTCGGATCCCTCATAATGAATCTGGTACATTTGATATCTGATTTTCAAAAGAACATTCTAACGAGCCATTCCCATGCCAGTAATTAAAATGCAAAACGGCCAGCTGTGTATTCCTTTTCAATGACTCAATTGCACAGGAAGTCTCCTTTCCAAATCCGACCAGACAAAATTAGAATTAGATTCCTTGGTAAGATAATTTTTATGATTTCATTTCTAGAGTTTGGTGCCTGTAATACCCAAAGCCCACACATCACAAAATTAAATACGCAGGACGTCTTTTCAGCAAGTCTTAGCGTTAAAACAAATAACAATGCCAGGTACTTTTTGACCACAAGTTACTTGTTCAACAAAGCATAGAGGTAACCTTGCAACTCATAAACTGTGCAACTAGTCAGCATTCATCCTTCTATTGGAGGAAACAAACATTAAGTGTGAGGGATCAATGGTGAACTGCCAAATAATATTTCTACTGCCACATTAAACAAAACCCTTCATACAGTGGTATTTCATATCACTGCCATTTCTGGTCACAAATCAGCTACTTTCCTTCTGAAGAGCAGTTTTTCTAAGGCAGTTATGCAAGCTGCAGAATACGGTCTCCTGCAGGTCAGATATTTATTGATCTTTGTCATGGGCAGCATGGTAGCACAGTGGTTAGCATTGCTGTGTCAACGCTGGGGCCCTGTGTTCAAATTCGGACCTGGGGAACCATCCCTGGGGTGAGTGTGTGCACGTCTGCGTGTGTCCTGCGATGGACTGGTGTCCTGTCCAGGGTGTATCCTGCCTTAGGTCAATTACTTGCTAGGATAGGCTCCAGCTCCCCTGCAACCCTGTCTTATATAAAGCGGTCAATAAAAGGATGGATCGATCTTTAGCAAACACAAGACCAAAAACATGGACAGTATTAGATTGTTCTTCCTTAGCATGACTGCTGATTGCAACTCAACCATAATTACAGTACTAATTTCACTGCTGATTACCATACTTGAACTGGGGATAATGAAGATTCACTTGGTGTCTAGTTTTGTTTAGTTTGTGGTGTGTGTTTTCTAACTTGTGTTCCAGATAAAAGTTTCTGTTGCGAAATCTATTAGTTATACCCATATACATATATCTGTAAAATAGCATAGTCTCATCATTAAAAGCACAGAGTGACAATACAATTATATTAATATTTACTTGTATGGCAGAATCAGATGCATCAACCAGTGGCATCTTTTTGATTCATACTTATAATTTCTGCTAGTCAATGGTCTCATCCTGAACCATACCTTTTTCAGCTGTAGACATTATTTTATGATGTGTCTTTCATTTCACAGCTGTACATCAAGTGATGATCATGAGAACTAAAGAATCTGGACTTTTGAATGTTTGCAACTAAAGATTTGAGAAACAGCGTTTAGAATGTACAATTTAGAGTATTTTGTTATTGATAAACACTGTAGTTGACACCTCCACCCTGCATCAAATGAGTACAAATACATTTGGCAAGATATTACATTTGTTCTGTTAAAATCTCTGGCACATCAGAATAATGTAACTCATGACTGCAACCAATTTACAAAGTTATTTGGGAAATTACAACTATTTGTAACAGGTACACTGACATTTCAGTGTGCAGATGTGGCACTGTTTAATTCATTATCTGCTGAACAGTTATCAATAGGGTGTCTACTGTGAATGTCTAGTAGCTTGTGTTGAATAGTGTTGAAAGCAATGCAATCTGTGTATCAGTGACACCTACTCTGCACTAGGTTGTAGATGCTGTCTTGTACAAATTCCTCACATTCTCATCATACAGGAAAATCATGATTGCACAAGCAGCACAAGGACGTTGTCCTGCTGGAACATTGTCACGTCAGGATGTCGCAGCAACAAAGGTCCCAGGATTTGATCAGTAGCACTGAGCAGTTACTGTAGGTTACCATCAGTCAATATACAGGAAGTGGAGCTCTGTAGATACCAAACACTCCAGCAAGATATTCACACATGAATCTCCCCCATCACGTGGGCTGTTCTACATGACAAGTAATGAATCATTCTTCTCGTCTGCATCACACTCTCTGATGTCATTCAGGAAGGTTGAAACCGGACACGACTTCACGTTTCGGTGGCGTAAAGGGATTGTTCTTTTGAGAAGTGGGACATATTTGCTCCTTTCTATTTTACTTTCTTGTTATTCTCTAGACTTGACGTTCATGCTATAACAACCAGCTAGAGAACTTTCTGCATTACTCCACGACCGTCCACCCATCCCTTAAGTATACGGTTAACATATCTTCGAAACACTTGAAGAAGGCTCCACAGCCGAAACGTTGTTTCTTCTCTTTTCCGCATGGAATAAACCTTTACTTGTTCCTCTGCAGCCTACGCATGCTGACGCAACTAGCCGATTGAACTACTTTGTGTCTGTGTCTGCCCTATGGTGGACTGGTTTTCCATCCAGAGTGTATCCTGCCTCTCGGCTTTTGCTTGCACAGGCTCTGGCTCCCTTGCAGCCCTGAATTGGAAGTGGAGGTTAGAAAATTGATGGATGAATGGACACCACTTTAATCAATACCCATATGCTTTATATTGGAAAAAAATGATGTTACTTGTAACTCCGCATCTTGTGCAGCACTGCCAGCTGGAGCAAGATGCCTCAAAGATGGTATCCAGAAATCTCGACAATAAGGCATCATTCAGTTGCTCGAACATTTTCTTTTGTATCACATGTATCCCCTGTCAAATGAACTTTATTAAAGCTTGTCCTGATAAATGTATCTTCCATTGTGTAATCAAAGTGCAGGATCACTGTAATACTGGGGAGTGAGGCATTAGATATTATTATTATATATATAGGCATTATATAAAGAAAATAAAGTTACAAAAGGAAAACCACAGACAAGGCTTTTTTTTACTATAATAAATCTGCTAACCACCCAGGAAGAATAAGGGTTGAATTGTACACAGCAATACAGAGAGAAGCAGGGAGAGTTAAATATTGCTAAAAATAATATTTAATGGAAAGTCATAATTCATTTAAATTTATAAGGTTATTACTTCATCCAGGATTTGCATTTGATAATTCTTAATAAGGAAAAGTTTAAAACATACATTTTATAAATATGAGCTAAATGATGAGGTATGGAAATACAGATGAAATTATAGTCACTGTACTGTATATAACATCTACTGTTGACAGGTGTATTCTAATTTGTTTGGATTTTGTAATGAATGAAGGAAAAATGCATCATGCAGTGTACTACGTATTAAAAAAAACGAATGCAGTACAGGTTTCCATGGAGCTTGCTTCAATTTCCCCAGAACGAAGTGATCTCTACCAAGGAGAAATTATATTAAATGGCCAAACCAGATACTGCTAGCATTGGGTGGCCTCATTATCAATCAATTATGTGCCATTTAATGTGTTGAATGGGGACAGAAGGGCTTTTAATACACTAGGAGAATAAAGAAAAATGTTTTGCTGCTCCTTGTTGCTAGTGAGTATTTTTTTTAAATAGGAAACTGCAAATAAGTGACAGACATCTTGTGCATTAAACCAAACTGGCATGAACAACATTACTGCAATATCATATTTTGCAATCTATAACCCTAAAATACTTTAAAACCCTATGAAGACCTTATACTACCTTGCTGATGAATTTTGTCCTTTTTAAAATAATTTGCATTAAGCTTCCATATGCCATTTTTATGCAAGTATTAAATTTCCATAAATACTATATTTTTCTGTTATAATTTAGCAACTGAATGCTTTAGGGAATAAATGGAGACAAATTACATAGTGTCTTTATATTTTATTCACATATCTTACATTTTGTAATGTCTAAGTCTCACTTTCTGATGGCAACCAGAAAGCTTGATTCAGCACCTACAGTAATGTACTGTATTCTTATTCTTCATTCATACAAGAGAACACACAAAAACACTCAGCTTTCACTTACAATGTACACCCATCACTCAAAGCGTTTCTGTGTGAATGTTAATATACAAAGAGGGGCCTGAAAATAAAATCCACAGAAAAACAAAAAAAAATAAACAGATCAGCAGCATGCATAACATTAAAAAAATTAAGTTAAACTTTCCTTCCTTCCATGAAAGACTCGAGTCTATTATGTGGCCCAGAAAAACAATTTCCAATCTTCAGAAATCATAAAACTACCTGATAAAAATAAGTGAACTAAGTTTGTTTGTTTATCAGTTTTATGTTTTAAGGATTAAAATGTGTGGTACCGATTTCCTTAAAAATCAGTACTGGTAAAAAGACATGCTGGGCAATTGAGACTATATGGATTGTCAGGATTTAAAATTCATATCACCTGCAAAGTAAAAGATAGCACTTTACAATAAGGAATATTCCTGTCCCTGCCCCACAGTGCTGAGAGTGCTAAGGATAATTCATGTTTAACAGGGGAACACACCGTGACTTCCAAGTGCATTTATTAATTACACTGGAAATTATGTGCAGTATTTCCTCATACGTAATAATATTAAAACCTAACAAATTCAGACACCTTGTAAAGTGTTATCTGGTACTGTTACAAAATGATATCAATATGATACTGTTTTGCAATGGTCTGCTTATACTGTATGAGTTACTGTACTATGTAGCTAATTTTTAAACTGTCAAAACTACAACAGTTGTTGGATCCAGTTGCTGCTCAGAACAGTATATGGTATAGTGAAGCTTCACTGCCTTAAGCATGAACATGGGCAGAGAACCAAATCGGTCTACCTGCAAAGACGCCAGATGAAAAACAATGTAAAATTAAGATGTGAACACTACAATTCAAAATAATAATAACCCATAATGTGATAAAAGCCCAGACTGAATTGTTACCACAAAGCCTACAGTAATTCACATTACGTTCCAAAACTATCAGTGATTTTTTTCCCCTGAAATGCTCCTGATCTCAAATTAACATACTTTTCTGAATATATTAAAAGATACAAGTTGTAGAACCATATGATGCAATAGGAAACAAAAAGGCGTGATATTTTTTGCACTGCCGACAGTCTTCTCATATGGACAAAACAACAAAACCTAAGGGAGTGAATATTAATTTTACTGTTTACATTGGGTTCCACCAGCACAAATGGTAGTGCAATTGATGGGTATCTGTTAACCCTGGCACACAGCAGCAGAGAAACAGCAACACAGAGGCAATGCTCTCCCACCAAGACCAAGCCTCCACCATTTTGATTGAAATCGTGCAGAAAGAGCAGTGATTACACTGCACAAAAGCAATACACACCAACCTGTTGTGTTGATCGCAAAAATCAGGGTTTCATTTAAAGGAGCACCTGCACATTTCCCACTTGATAATTTGAAAACCTGCATCTGGCCTGTAATGTAAGGCAGGCATGCATGGCAGTAATCGGGATCTGGCATGTTCTGCATTTTACTAAAGCAGGGATGTGTGATGAAATGTATATGTTATTAGCACCAGCATATATAAAGCATATATACCAGCATGAACCAAACTGTTTTGGTAAATCACTTTTTTAGAAAAAAAAATACAAAGGTAAAATTTATTGTTTAAAATCAATAGCAGCATATCTTAAAATATTTTACAATTATTTTCTTTTAGACTTCAGCAAAAAAAAAAGTTCCTGAGGATGATTTGCAACTAGACCTTAAAGTAGAGCCTGCACACCAGAAAAGTACCCTGGACTGTCCGCGCCCACTCGTGATAGCTAACATTACATGTCTATAAGCCATATCTTTAAAATACGTCACATACACCAGTCTATCATTTCTACACAAATTTACTCACCCATAGCAGAAAACAAAAGCAATACTGTGGGAAATGATAAATTAGGAAAGAAAAGGGATGTAAATTGATTCACAGACACAATAAAAACGAAAATGTATTATTTCTTCATTATTTTTATCAGAGACGGCAAAGCAGCCTTCATGCGTCTGGTGTGCATTTTGAATTTGCAATGGAATTCCATTTACTGGATAAAGGTCTTCAGCTTAAAAACTCAAAACGCTAATAAATCTGTACTTTGGATTGGTATAAAATTTCAAAATGTGTGCAGAAACTTAAAAAAAGATCAGCTGGTAACAGGTATTACATCTAGGTGTGGATATTTCTTCTGTACTTCTGTGTGTGTGTGTGTGTTGGGGTAGGGGTTAGGAGCATTTTTTTTGTAATTAGTAGTCCCTTTCCAAACAAGATGGCCAGTGAGTAAAGTTGTGTTTTAACATTCAACTTATTAACTTTCCTTTTCTTTGAAATCTACACTTTAATGTATCGCCGTTAGTCGGTAGGCTTGATTGTATGCATCACGTCTTCACACATACCACTGCTATAGGGGGAACACCTTCTGGCCATGTACGTTTTACTACATCATGGGTATAGAAGGATTTTCAGAAGATAAAACAAAAGCCCAAACGTTTATTCGCCAATCACAGATTTTTGCACAGGATATGTTACAGTCCGTTGTAATGAGGCCCCCATCGCTTGTTAATGTGGTCAAAGGTATGAGACACCCACTGCTGCTCCAGGACCCTGTACCTTTCCTCACACAGATACAGCGGCTTGCCACGTCTAGGAGAGAAAACAGGAAAGAAAAAATTTTAAAGAGCATGTCATGATCGGTTGACATAAGGCAAACAAACACATCTGGACACGAACAATAACACCGATCCAAAACAGATTCAAATAGACATTTCTAAAACAGGATTTTAGATTTCCGAAATATTCACAGTAGGGTATAGTTACAAGAAAGGCATTGGGTCTAGAAATTCTAAATCATACTGAAAGCATTGCTATTTTTAGCCAGGTGGTCTGCAGACCCTGTTGTGTTTCAGGGGCAGTGTCTTTTTGGTTGTTTTTTTGCAAGAAGTATACTTTTACACTTCACGAAGGAAAGAGCTGATCCATCTCGGGATACCAGCATGATAGCTCATGAAAAGAACCGTTCGTCCTAAGTGACGGACTTCCAGGAAATTAATACTGAATTTGAAAAGTGAAATTGAAACTGTTTAGTTGAAAAGTTCAGTGATGTTTTTCGTACTAAAACCATGAGAAAACTTTCAAGGAAGCAGGCTCCTTGAAAAGAAGCATAAGCATACATTATGCTTATATTCAAACCATTTCTTTTTTTATAAAGCCAGTGAATTGATATTTCCATGAATGCACATGATTTCTATATCAACTTGAATTTTAAAGCGATACACATTTATTAGAGGAGGCAGATACAAGCACCGAGTTTACCGGAGGTCTCTGTCCTCTTCCCCATGAGCATCCAAGTACACGGAGCCCCAAAGGCAGAAACGATGGCCTCTGATGATGATGATGACGGAGGCATTGATCAGCAGGAATATTCCTGTCCCTGCCCCACAGTGCTGAGAGTGCTAAGGAATAAAATCTTACCATCACTGATACAAGCCTGTATGTCTTCCAAAGACAAATTCCATCAACAGGGCAGCAAATGGATCATATTACATATGGATTAAGACACAGGAATAAGACGTATAAAAATCATTGGACTTTTTAAAATAGCATTCACATTACACAAGTGCCAACTATTCCATGCACTGTATGACTGCAAACAATTGAATTAGGAAACATGAGCGACATATTGTAAAAGCAGGAAAAATTGAGTAGAGTCAATATTCTACATGTCCCTGCTACTTATTGTGCCCTTCTATGGAAGTATTAAAGCAAAAAAAACATCAAATCAGTACACTTACTCACCAAAACACATTCACAGTAACTCTGTTGCTTACAGCAAAGCCCTTTGAGGCATACAAAGGTTCCACACACTAAACAGAGTGCAGGATCCTTAGGCACCTTATTGCAGACAGAGCAGGCCTTCCTGTGATAGTACTGGAAGATGGTATTGTAATTCTCTGGTAAGTGAAGTAGATGAGGTGCAGCCCAGTGAGGATCCTGGGCAAGCAACGTCTGAAGAGAACAAAGGTGGAAAGCACAAAAATGCATTAAAGTCTTTCTTTGCTACCCTAACACACACTTACCGAATAAATGCCATAAACCTACTGAATACATTATGTTGCAATTTTAATTTTTGAAATCAACTGCCAATCTTCCCTCCATGACAAAAGAATCTCTCGTGTAATTCACTGCATTCTTAAACTGTAGCGTTTTTCTCCACCTCATTTTAAAAAATTAGAACCGCAAATGATTCTTACTACTGAAACCTGTTCAACATGTAACAAACATTCAAATGGTCTGTCTTGACTGATTAAACATTGCTGAAATGCCATCCAAAAAGGTGTTTGGATAAGGGGGAAAAAAAACAATACAAAAAGTAAAGTCAGCAACATTTAAAATCGTGATGTTGATAATGTCACAGATAGCTTCAGATTTAGTTTCCACCATCCATTTCTGCAGACAATCAGCAAATACGGTGTCCTTTTCACTGGGTATAGCAGGGTGTACGTCAATTGTAACCGTATTTAATGCTTCTACAAGCCTTTATTGGGAAAGATGTTTTTTTCTGCACTTTTCCTTGGATCGGTGACAGCTCAAGCTGTTAAGATCTTTCATTTACTCAAGTGTCACTTCCACTGTTCTTCTCACACATCTCACATCAATCTGTGTGAAAGCCATGCTAATCCACTCAGGCCTCAATCAGGGCTGATTTTATTCTCGGCTGCCTTCGCCAAACCTTCTATCAATTGATTCGGAAAGGGGGTGACAAGTGTCCTGTGATTCACTGGCTTTTGGCTGCAGTAAATGGAAATAACTCCATGATCCTCCAAACCTCTCTTCCTAGGTCCCAGGTGGCAACGATTTTCTTACTCGTTCGCTTTTTATTTGGCTTGAGGATGTGGCTAACACTTGATCACAGAGAAAGCAGCTGCTGTAACCATCCATACCATCTCCATGGTATGAACTATTTCAGGCCAGCGCAAGTCACGTGCCGAGCATTTTCCTTTTTTAGCATAATGGTTTACTAAATATGTTGGACTTGAAAACATCCTTTTTGCTATAGCACTTGAAAAAATGTACATGTGGGTCAGAATTTGTATTCAGACCATCTACAAAAGTTCAAAAGGCTGTTTTTTTAATGATCTAAAATCTTTAAAATAATATTCAAGCTTTCCCTTAATGTACAGTATATGGTTTCTGAGTTGCATTTTATTGCGCTGATATTCTAGTAAATAAGCCCATCACGATTGGAGATTTCTGCTTACAGTGATGGCCTGAACTGGTGACTGGTGTCTAATCATAACATGGTGTGCTACAAAGGTCATCAAAGAGTGATAGTAACAGTCTGAAATGACTACAGACTTCATTCAAGAATCCCAGGAATAAGAAACAGTAAAAACATTACATTAATATAATCAATATAATTGTGTGTCAGTGATGTTGTACAATAATTACAGATGCCCAGCTATCACAATCCAGATTATAATGATAGGCATTACCATCATCAATTTGATGAAAGTCTATAATATACTAATAACAGTAAAGGTAACAGGTACATATAGTTTCTTACTAAGTATTATTAATTAAACTTCATTTACACGACTTCTACTTATGTTTCTAAAAAGAAATATACAAATTTGAGCAAAGGCCTTCTATTTATTTTCTTACAACCAAAACCTACCACAGCATGTTTTTTCTGTGTATCCGTGAATGCTGTTACTTCTGAGCACCACTGAGATATCAAGTCAAACGCTGGGACTGACCACTCAAGGCAGGAGGCACTGCTTAACTGGTTTGATGGTTGAAGCCCCAGACAGCTAGCCAGCACAGAAAATTCCTCTTCCCTCTAAGAAACAAAAAGCAGCACTGAAATATAGATTGAAACCAAAAAAGATTCCAGATTTCATTCAGTGTAAAAAAAAAAAAGGTTTGCTGACAGAAATTTACCTAAAATGTGGGGAGCGCAATGGCTGAAAAATAAGGGTTCAGCATAAGTCCCCACTCACAGCAGGGGCTATGCCCCTTTGCCTGGAGATCACAAGCTTGAATCCAGAGGGCAGGGCACAAAAGTACAACAAGATCTACTGTTTGTGCACTAGGTTCACAGCACCAAAAAAAGTAAATGCACAGGACGTACATTCACATCTTTAGGATTTAATTTCTCAGAGGCTAATATGGGGTTGTAGGAGTAAGGTTTCTGAATATTCAGTATTCAGAATTTACAGAATCAGCCATTCCAAGGCGTTATATAGGGTAATAACCTATGACACCTAAATCTAGAAGTGACATTAATTAATATTATTTTGCACATTCATTAATTGCAAACTCTAAATTTCTAAAAGTCCAATTTTCTAAAACAAAAGAATCAGGACTTTAAGGCACATAAAAGTAACTATTGATCTCAAAGCTGCGTTAAACCAGTGTGTAATACAAGTAATATATATTGAAACACTGTAAAAAACAAGTGTTCTCCTAGACATACATAGGGTACAGTTATGACAAGTTGAGAGACTCTGGAAAAAAATGCTTTCAATGAGACAATTTAGAAAGCAGCACCTAAATGAAAACTTTTGTTTAATTTGTGCTATAAAATATACAAACCAGACAACTGGGTAAGTCATCCCCATAAAGGTGGTGCTGCAAGAGGCTGGAGATCCTGAGGAAGGGCAGACAGAACTGCTGGAGAGCGTATTCGATTGACTGAGGGGACCAGATACTGGAACTCAGCTGGAAAAAAGGACAGCCACATGTAGTACTGTCATTGCACCCATACCTTCACCGCAGATCTAACATGCATATGGAATCAAAGTACATTTATTGAAGACAGCCGGAGAAATGCAGCCAGGAAAGGATTTTTCAGAACCCCAACTGCATCTCTTTGAAATTATCTGTTCAGATAACTGAACACTGCACTGACTTTAACGATCAAAATTGAAGTTGCTTACTATTGACATTTCATCCGGGGCCACCTCATACAAGCCCTTTCCTTTGGACAGCTCCATGATCACATGACTCAGCAATGCCTCCCAACACTTTTCTGCACTGCACGTGTTCTGTGAAACACACACGAGAAGTTCACATCAATCACAGGATTTTTTTTTCTCCGCTCCATCACAAACAGTCAGGGGGAAAAAAAAAACAATATAGTTTTTGGTCTTTCAACCATTAATCTTAGGCAAAAAATAGTTATATAAGGATGATCAAAACTGAGACTGAGCGTTTCAGCGAGAGAGATGAAAGAGCTGATGTAACTGGTGCTTTGACATCCTATGCCCACACTGCAGCAAGAATCTTTTATCCGTAAAAAAAAGGATCCAGGCTGGATCTCCAGTAGAGTCTGTTTGCTAAGGACTGTACAAATGCCTAAGCCCTGCTGGGACTGAGCTGCAGTGGGATCAGACGAGCCGGGAGATGCTGTTTGCTAAGGGGTTAGAGCCCCATTTCAAACCTGGCGCTTGCTAGACACTGTGCCACAGTCAGTCCAGGGCCCGTCCTTCAGCTATGCAGAAAGCACAACTTTCTGTTGCAATCAGCAGGGAGAAAAAAAGTCATAGACTGGGAAACCCAAGTTAAAAGGCTTTGTTTAGCTACAGCTCGCTTACGCCAACCTAGGTTTGAATTGGCAAGTCTGCTTGAAGAGCAATTAAGAATTCCAACAGCGATAAAAAATTAAATAAGGAAATGATACCCCTAAAATGGATCCTGTACCTGGCTTTAGGTACAGAAATAGCAATTGGTATTTTTAGAATAAAGTGACAAGACCATCTGGAAACTCTTAACAAGCACTTAACATGTCAACCAGAAATAATCTTCAATTAATAATCTTATTAGAACATCCCCACGTTCTTATTTTTTAAATTACTTTAAATCCATTTTTAGGTTTCTTATGCAATTTGTTTTTTTTTCCCCTGAACAACACAGCATTGTAGTATAGTTTAGGCACAGTACATTAATGCTACAATAACTCTTTTTATATTATAAAATATTTGACTGTTGATAAGAGCTGAAACATTACTGAATATGTGTTCAGATAAAATCCAACTGGTTCTACCAATATTTTATGTGGGGTAAAGCAGCCAACATCTATCAAACTGGCGGTAAAAGAATATAAACTGGCAACTCTCTTATCTATCTCAGAGTGCTCTGTCATAGATTTATAGCTGAGGAATTTACTGCCACTGAATTCCGTTTTCTCTAGGCTACAGTCTTCTTTAAGATTTCATTTTTTTAGAATCCTTTTAATATACGCACCAAAGTGGTGTTCTACATAAGACCTGGAGATATTGGCAATAACAATAACCTCCAATGTTAGATTTACCGCCATGAACTGAAAGCTCTATTGTTCATGAAGAGAAAAATCAACTGTACTGCCTTGGTAGATGGAAACATTTGGCGTTCTATGTGTTTGTCCACCACTTTAATTTATGCGATAACGAAGCCTTTCAAATAGAAATGTCCTAACACAGATGTCAATGTTAAACGCCGTGCTGTTTGCGAACTGTAAATGCCCCTGTTGGAAAAACTGTAGTGCATAAGTAGCTAAAAGAAAACGGCAGTGGTTTAGCCATCATTATTTCTTTTGTCAGGTCTGTACAGTTCATTCATCTTTCAGAAAGCAGACACTGTGTGGTGCTCTAAAATATTAAACCCACCACTCAATTAAAACTGGCATCTCTTTTCTTTATGACAAACTGCAGGAAGGAAGCAGCAGTCACACATCACTGTCCACATCCCCAATTCAGACTTAAAAATGTTTTTATTTCAGCGACACCCACAGTATTCATGCCATTACCTTTTTTAGGGCTCCTGCATTTTTCCAGGCTAATCTCTCCTCTGGACTGAATTTGACTGAAAGCGCTCCAATGGCATGAACATACTGCAGTGTGTACAGTATTTTCACAATACAGGTAAAGTGTTCTGTGGAAGTCAAACAAATAAAGGACATGAAACAATGATACCACAACACAAAAAGCTTCTGAAAGACTTCACTGAATATTGTACTGTAAAGCTGTAGAAAAACAATAACAAAATCAAACTGATTCAAATGGCTTATTTTTTTACCGTGGTGCAGTATTGTAAATACAGCAGTAATAGGTATCAATAGGACATTCTGTCAAATGAAGCATCTCATAATGAGTAGCTTAAACTTTTGTAAAGGCAAATGCATGCACCTGCAAAAGCCTTTTTTCATCCAAAACTATTTTACGATTCTATATATTAATATACATATCTCTATATACACATGTAAATGTACTGCACGATATAACTAAACGTATATCTATTTTGGGTACATATTTCAATATTTACACATTTAATGTCACACTAGTTGTAACTGAATTCAAGTCTTATTTTTATTGCAGTAGCACATTTAAGGCCTGCGTACCCAGATCTCCTGATTAGGAAGCTGAACATAAGGGATTTCAACTGTTTTTGCTATTTTTAGACATATTGGAGAGAAACACTTAATGAACTTAATGATTATGCTTCACATGCATGTTCTAAAAATTATTTAACGTTTTGCCCCACAACAGATAAGGGATTTATCCAAAAACAAACCTTTTTGCTGTGCAAAACACTAAATGATCTATTTAAGATTAAATGTTTAAAAATTATTTTTACATAAAGGAAACTGTTGCCAAAACCAAGTATTTAAAATCAGATTTGACTAAAACTAGGCATGTACTGTCAGCATAGTTCTACTAGTACTCAAGTTTACATATTGGCATTCCGAATATGACTTTTCCTCAATATTGCTCACATTCGCTTTATCTCTGGACATTGGCATTTATGATCGATTGGTAGATGGTGCAAATCTTATTTCTGCAGTTTGATCTTTCTTGGAAGCTGCAACATGAATATTTCCATTTTTATAACAAGTTTATGGAAGAAAATGAGCAAAAAATATTTTTTATTAAAAACTGTATTGCATCTGCCCAGACAGTAAAGTAACGCTTGCAGGAAACAAAGCCAGTTCCTGTTTACATTATTTTCTTGGCTTGTGTTAACCCCAATTGTGAAATCAATATGGGGCCACTTGAAAACACAGAAGAATAGGTGTTGGAGGGGGAAAAAAAAATGCAGGAAGTGCGCTTCCAGCGTCTTTGCTCCCTTAGGGATATCAGCATAATAAAACTGAGCTGTTCGCTCAAGCTTACATGACAGCAAAAACCAGACACAGGATAATGTGAGGGCAGGTGTGGCGAGAGATGATTGATGCTGCACTCTGCGAGAAAGGCTGTGCTACCGGGAGGCAGAGCTGTGCAACAGAATGGAAGCTGAATGCCTTGAACAGCATTGATTTTGGTGGGGAGGGGAGAAAGAGTGAAGGAGAAGAAAATGCGCACCAAAGAAACATTACCCTAATTTGCTTATAGGAAAAAGGCCTAAGTTTAGAAATAAGACGTTAAAACAGCATACCATGGCTTTAAGGCTTAATAACAGAATATTAATATGCTAATGCAATCGGGGACACTCATCTTAGGTTTGACACCTTTTTCTCAGTGCCTGTAAAACTCAATATGTTGTGTATTTTATACCTGGCTTCTTAAAATGACTATTACTTAGTCCCATTTTCTTTTAAAGTGAATATTTACATAAAAACTTGAATTCTCAAACTGAACTCTTCATAGGTGAATGAAGTTAAATGTCAGCAAAAAGCAAAAGCAAGACCAAAAACAAAAATGTTGATTGCAGAAGTAT